AGAAAATCAATTCAAAAGACTGTAAAAAATAAAAGAAGCAATAGAAGACAATTGATGCACTTTACCGAAACAACAAGCACTACAAAAATCATTTACACTTTTATTGGGAATAGAAATGTTACAAAGTTTAAGAATTTGTAGTAAAATTCCATGACTGGGTGCCCTAATTTATGATGCCAAAGCTGATACAAACTGAAACTAGAAATGCTAGAGCTAGATTTATTACAAGATGTATTGAAAATAAGCCTAGAGTCTAGACTTGGTGAAGCTTGTTGACTTGAAGTGGACATGGGAACATTGAGAGCTTGAGAGTGTGATGGAGAAGGGGTGCAATCAAATTTGTAAATACCATCACTGCCAAGAGATCAACTCAATAGAACTCTAGAGGTAGCCTGACATTTAACAAAACAAGAGTTAACATGGAACTCAACAAATACTAAGTTATCTTTTGCAAATTGACTCACATTGATAATATTTTTAGTAATTAAGAGAACTAAGAGCAGATTTTTGAGTTTGAGACAAGTATTAGGCCATAAGTTTGAAGGAAATGTCATAGACCCAAGAGAAGTAATTGATAAACTTTGTCCATTACCTATATGAACCTGATCAGAACCAAGGAGAGAAATGGATTCCATGAGTTTGGATGGATCAGGAGTAACACGGTGAATTGCTCCCAAGTCTGGATATCAGGCTTGGTTGTAAAAAGAGGATGAATCAATGCATGTAACAAGAGCTTAAGGCCTTAGAGTTGTGTATTATGATTGCATGGAGGGACTCACAGGCCTGGAATAATGGAGAGGCGTGGGAGGTGAAGGTTTGTAGCCAGATGAGTCTACACATTAGAATGAGGTACACCATACTGACCAAAGGTTTAAGGTAGACCATATGGATCTTGTGTGTGTTGATAGTAGCAGTAGCTAGCACCATGCCCAGGTTTGTAGCAAATTTGACATTGCACAAAGTTCCTACCACCATGTCTACCACCACGGCCCCAAAATCTTCCACCGCGAGAATTCCTACCCCAATACTGGTTACTGCAACCACCAAGAGCAAGAAATTGATAGTTAAACTGACTTTGATCATTCATTTCAAGTGTATGAGAATGAGAAGTTGGCAAGGTTCCCTGAGTGAGATTATCTGATACAATTTCAATTAGCTCCCTCTTCGCTTTTTCCTAACGCGCTTCTTGAGTGAGAAGTAAAGATTCCAGTTCATTAAGTGAAACAAATTCAGGTCTCGAATTTACTGCAACTATTGTGGAATCAAATTCAGTAGGCAAGGTCTCAAGAATTAGTTTGATCTGGTCACGATGAAGCACATGATCGCCGATTAACATCAGTGTCAATGATGACGCGAACACGGGAAATAAATCCTGAAATGGATCGAGTACCTTTTGATAGGGAGTGAAGTTCAGATTAAAGCTACATGGACCTTGTTTTCATTTGCATGTGACAGTACGAGTGGATTTCTTCCCAAACTTGCCAAGAATGGCGTAACAAAACGCGCACACACAGACAGAGAGAGAGTATTGGAAATCATGGATAAGAACCACGTACATAGGAACGCATCTTGTTCTTCCCACGCAACATAGCTAGGATTTTCAGAACCAGAATCGCGATCAGCAACAGAGAGGAATCACTCAAATTCTAGGCGTAACTACATACTTCACCATTTTCGTACCTCTGAGGACGCCTTCAAATTGTTACTTCCATTGCTGATAATTCGTTTCATCCAATTTGAAAGAGATATGTTTGAAGGTTAATATTGCGATAGAATTGTCAGCTCGAGCTGTAAAAGCTTAAGAATTTGAAGTTATCGCCCTGAATTAGAGACGAAGTACAAAGCAAATAGAAAAATCAGACAACCGGATAAGCTTACCATGTTAGAATTGATAATCTGATTCCATGAAAATATGAGAGAGAGAGAGAGAGAGAAAATTTGTGAATGATTTCATTGATATGATAAATCTATGTTATATATATATATATCAATTCATAGTTGAACTAACTTTACAATAGCCTGTGAGAAATTGTCACCCCATATTATACCTAACACCCTTCATATATATATATATATATATATATATATATATATATATATATATATATATATATATATATATATATATATATATATATATATATATATATATATATATATATATATATATATATATATATATATATATATATATATATATATATATATATATATATATATATATATATATATATATATATATATATATATATATATATATATATATATATATATATATATATATATATATATATATATATATATATATATATATATATATATATATATATATATATATATATATATATATATATATATATATATATATATATATATATATATATATATATATATATATATATATATATATATATATATATATATATATATATATATATATATATATATATATATATATATATATATATATATATATATATATATATATATATATATATATATATATATATATATATATATATATATATATATATATATATATATATATATATATATATATATATATATATATATATATATATATATATATATATATATATATATATATATATATATATATATATATATATATATATATATATATATATATATATATATATATATATATATATATATATATATATATATATATATATATATATATATATATATATATATATATATATATATATATATATATATATATATATATATATATATATATATATATATATATATATATATATATATATATATATATATATATATATATATATATATATATATATATATATATATATATATATATATATATATATATATATATATATATATATATATATATATATATATATATATATATGTATATATATAGGGTTTAGGGCCTTACGACCGACTAATCCACTATGCAATGACAAGGGACCCGTTTAAAGTCAGAGTAAAGTTCCGTAAGAACTGACCCACACAAAATTGATTGCACTTAGTAAAATTCGAACATGAGATTCAAGAACACACTCTCAAGACCCAAACCTCCACTACTAAACCAAGCCTCCATATTTTTAAAATTCCAAAAATATCATTGCTATTATTTAACGAAATTTGCAATAATGCACTTTTTGTAATTCTGAAAATTCTTGCATTTATACTGGAAATTTCAAAATTTCAAATAAGATATTTCAAAATTTTCAAAATTTTCTAATAATAAATATAAAAAATTTCTAGTAAAAAATATTAAAAATTTCAGTTACAAAAAACCAAAAATTTTAAAATTTGTGGTAAAATAAATTAGAAATTTCTAAATTTATGGTAAAAAAATACTGAAAATTTCAAAATTTTCAAACTGCAAATTTCAAAGTTTCAGGTAATTTTGCATAAAAAACTGTAAATCTTAAAAATTTCCGGTATAAATTCAAAATTTTCAATAAAAAAAACTGTATATTTCAAATTTTCCAGAATTTTTCCATGGATATATAAAGGTAAAGGTAGCTCAAAATAGAGTATGTCAAGTTCGTAATATAAGTTGATATCATACTTGCTAGTGAGAGTAGGAACCAAATGGAATTTGACACCACAGCATGAAGTCAGAATAAGATATGGCTTTGAGTTTGAGTGTATCCATCTGTTGTAAAGACGAGGCTCGTAAAAAAGGGGAAAGAATTAGAGGAATTTTTGTTTGAAGAAGATAATTTCTAATTTGATTTTCTAATTTCATTCACGATGAGGGGGAAAAAGGTAAGATTAATGTCTATGTGAATCTAAATAAAAGTACGAAGAAATGCAGAGCTATTGTAGGAAAAGATTAAATAGTAAAGAACGTAGATGTTATCATTATTATTTTAGCTGGGAGTTAATTGAACCTCACCTAAATACCACCTACAAAACATGGTTTTTTTCCATCCAAAAGTATACTACCAAACACGTGATATTAGGGTAAATTAGTTCTCAAAATACTAGGGTGATTCAACTTGCAATACATACTCTACTGTTTCTATTGCGTGACTATACATAAATATAACAGTCTCAAGTAGGTAGTTCATTAAGTGAACTAAGAGGCATGAAGAAAAAAAATTAAGCAAAAGACATTCGAACTCTAGAAACTAATAGTTTAATAACCTCCTGCAAACATCTCAAGAGGCGCATCGAGTGGAAACCATCTACAAGGTAATTTAGGGGAAGACAGTAGGAACAGAAACTTAACACTTAAATTTAAGTTTTCCATTCATTAATAGAGAAATGATTTTTTATTGTGCCCAAGTAAGAGAACTGTGATTAATACTAATATTGAGCTCCGCAATTCTAGGAGCCAAATAGGTTTTTGAACCAAGAGAACTTAAACCATACAATACTATGAATAGTTATTGAGTGAAACTACAATCAAAATTTCAAGTTGCAAACTGCAACACCTTTTTCTGAAACTCTTAATTCAGTTCAGCAAACCTGAGCATTGCTTCAGATGATTCCCTAATTCAACACTTTATTTTCTAAGAAATCAATTCTTTGACAAGGAAAGGAGCACCGCTCCAAAGCCGCGATTTCCAAATTCACATAAACCACCTCACTCAAACCTGCAAACAAAAAATACACGTTGGCATATTGATATTCAGGTATTGTTCAGCACAGTAGTCCAAGAATTTATTTCAAACATACTTTACTATTCAACCAATAAACAGAAGTTGTAGTAGTAAAGTAAAAAGAACAAAGAAGTCAGAATGACAGAATAAACATAATCTGACATTGGTATTATTCAAATAGAAGCTAAGAAAACAACTGTGAATAAATTCCCTGTAGGTTCCATCTCAATTTCAGTACAACTTTCAGGTGAAAAACAAAATACAGCATAAGATTCAACAGTCCAGACAAAACTACAAAAATACATTATTTAAGAAATTAATGAAAAGATGCAACATCACATTATTACCTCATAGTCTACTTCCTTAACTAGCAGGATTAGCAAAAAGAGCTTAATAGATGGAATAGTTTTCAGTAACACCAGGCCAGAAGTTCTTATAGATAGCCTTGGCAACTGGAAGAATAGCAATAAGGGCAATCTGAAGTTGGTCAGAACTACTTGTCCTGACAGTGATCTGCCCGCTAAGCTTGTTGTTCAATCCAGCCCGAACCGCCATCTTATAGCTTCGTCCAAGAGAAATCTGTGACTGAAAATTGGCTCCCAAGGCTAAATCACCTCTCCACTGCACCAACGAAAGACTCAAAGAAGACTGATCCTGACCAACTGGAAAATCTGCCTCTCTAAGCCTCACTTCAACATTGGCACCATAAGCAGAATCATTTTGAGACCGCACAGTCCCTGTGCTCCCCACTAATACCAATCGTTTCCCCAGTGCTATTTGATCTTCAAGTTTCACACCGGTGGACACATTTTCACCCAAAAATGTCACAGACACCCCAGCAGCAGTTTTATTTCTTTTGAAATTCTTGAACTTGGTCTCACCTCTAACAATGTATGCCAGCTGCTTTCCGATGTTCTGAATGTCAAAGCCTGCCATGGTTGAACCATTTTCTCCATGTTTAGCAGCAACCGATGAATCCAAGTGAATGCTGAAATCTTGCTTGTCTTTTGTTACTTGAACAGTAACTGCTGCCGGGAACTTGTTGATAATGGCCATGCTGTTTTCAATGTTAACACCATCGTAACCACAATCGTGGTCCCAACTATGAGTGTCTAAGACCGGCCTTGTCAGCAACTGAGAATTCGGTTCTAAGAAACGGTATCTATAGGCTGGACTGTCACTATCAAAGGACTGTGGCAACACCATATCAGGCAGAGGAACTTGCACAGCAGCTGGACTTCCATTCTCTTCATCTTCCTCCATGTAGTCATTTTCAACGTTTTTACCTCCTTTTTTCTTCATGTCTCTCATCCTTTTCAACTCCTCTCTCCATTGCTTCTTCTGCAAAAGTTTCACTCGGTAATCATATTCCTCAAGATATGCTTTTCTTTGCTCTCCATTAAGCTTAGCAATCTGCGACTTCTTTAGAGGTTTAAATGGTGGGAGCTGGTCATATTCATCTTCCCCTTCCTCTCCATCAGAATCAGATAAGTCAGCCAGTTCAATATCAGAATCACCATTATCAATCCCAGCTTGATCAGGGAGTTTGGGGTGTGCACGTGACTGCAACAACCAAGACAGCAAGTATGGAAGTGGAGGGGCACGGCTTCTAAAACCAAACAGCCTACGGTTATCAGCTGCTTCCTGAGTCTTTGAAATGTTAGTAGCCTCAGAGAGAATCTTCATCGAGTAACATAAAAGCAATAACAGAGGTTTCCAACTTTGACCATTAGGAAGCACCTTCTGGCCATCTCTATTTTTCCGACAAGAAGGATGGTTTTCAACAAGTGAAACTGGATTCATCAAATTTGGATTCATAAGACGCAGGTCACCAACAGCCTGTCCGATGGCTTGTTGAACAATATGAGATCTTTGAGCAACAAAAACATCATAACTTAGTGGGGAACCTGATGGTCCATCTGGTGGAGCAGAGGCAGCATGAGTCAGAGTGACAATCACATTACGCCATATTGTTGGACCGAGGGCACTAGTAACTGATCTCAACATGGGCAAATCATTCATATCTCTAGTTTGCAGGTCGAGGCGGTCCACGTATAGAACAATATCAGGGGGGGATTTTTTGGTCAATTTCTTCACCATAGACAAAACTTTTCTGTTGTAACTTTGCTCAAAAGCAGAAGATTTCAAACCTGGTGTGTCGAAGACCCTTATTTCCACTCCATCAACCATTCCAACAATTTCTGTCACAGTAGTAGTAGCAGGACCATATGCACTGAAGCTGGTTTTGGTTTCTCCGAAAATTGAATTAATGGTAGCACTCTTTCCCACACCAGTTTTTCCAAGAACCAATATATTTAAAGAAAATGCAAAATCATCTCTTCCCTCGGATTCAAGCCGGGAAGCACTCTCCTTTGCAGCATCTAGGCTGAACATTTCACCAATTTGCCTCCCTGCAACAAGTGTCAAACGATACAACACCTGTGCTGCTATTGATTCTTCAGTAGTAAAACCTAGTCTCTGAATCACTCTTAGATATTTTATCCTAATTTCCTGCAATTTCTCCAATTTCTTCTTATCTTCTTCACTCAAATCGGTGTCAGAAACAACAGTACCTGCTCTACTCATGGAAGGAGCAAAAAGATTGGGACGAATTGAACGTACTGCAGGTTTACCTGTCTGGAGAGATGGTCCCAAACCAGCAGGCCGCTCGACAGAGAAAAGCCTAGATCCATCTTGAGCAGTTAAGGTGATACCGCCACCATCTTCTTCCCCTGCTCCAGATGCTGCTTTCAAGAGAGCAGCCAAAGTAGCAGTATCAAAGAGCTCTTTGCTATCTTCTTCATCGTCAGATACAACTTCTTCATCAGAGTCGGTTACAATCTGGCCATCAATTCTGTCATCCTGTGAACTCTCACTGGCCCTAATTTGCTTCTCCAATTCTTCCAAGTATTTATTGGCAGAATCAGAGCCTCCAAAGATCATTGATTCATCCTTCGTATCCGACACCGAGTCATCAATCTCTCTGTCAATATGATGATCAACAGCAGCCTCAACATGGTTACCATCATCCATCTCAATCACGCGATCAACATTGCTATCGGCTTCCTCCTCAACAGCATTATCAAAATCGGTGTCATCTTCAACGTCAACAACCTGATCAGCATTGCTCTCGGCTTCCCCCTTAGCAGCATTTTCAAAAAGAGTGCTATCTTCAACCTTGACAACAGGATCGACATTACTCTCGGGTTCCCCCACAACAGCATTATCAAGATGGGGCTCATCTGCAACCTCGACAATACGATCAACATTACTCTCGGCTTCCCCCACAGCAGCATTATCAAGCTGGGTATTATCTTCAACCTCGACAACACGGTCAGCATTGCTCTCGGCTTCCCCCACAGCAGCATTATCAAGATGGGTTTCATCTTCAACCTCGAGCACACGATCAGCATTGCTCTTGTCTTCCCCCTCAACAGTATTACCAACATGGCTCACGCCTTCCACCTCAACAACCTGATCAACATTGCTTTCCGCCTCCTTTTCTACAACATTATCAACATTGCTCCCATCTTCCACCTCAACAACATTGTTTTCCGCCTCCTTTTCTACAACATTATCAACATTGCTCCCATCTTCCACCTCAACAACATTGCTTTCCGCCTCCTTTTCTACAACACTATCAATATTGCTACCAACTTCTCCCTCAACAGCATCATCAGCACGGCTCTCAATTCCACCTTCAACAGCACGACTCTCTATGTTTATCTCATCTTCCGCAGCCTCCAAACTCCGACTGACAACTTCTGAAATTTCTTCACCCTTCTCAGCAGGCTCAATGTCACTCACTGGCCTTTGTGCAACACCGTCATCAACTCCAATGTCAACAACTTCATCAGGCTTGGCATCACCACCAACATTATCATCAACAACAACATCACCAGCCTTCTCAGTAAGAACAATATCCCTCAGTTGCTCATGTGCAACATTATCATCAACAACAACGTCACCAGCCTTCTCAATAAGAACAACGTCCCTCAGTTGCTCATGTGCAACATTATCATCAACTCCAACTTCAACTCCACTGTCAACAACTTTACTAGGCTCAACTTCCCTGCCAACAACAACTTCATCCCCCTTCTCAATAGTTTCAAAACTACTACCAACCTCATCAACAACACTTTCACTGCCAACCTTCTCAATAGCTTCAAAACTATTATCAAGACCCGCAACAGGGGCAGGAGCCACAACCCCATCAATTTCAGAAACCTCATCTTTCACTTCATCCCCAACAACAGCAACACCTCCATCCACCAAAGGTTTAACTCGAAGACTATCAACAACAAAATCTCCACCACTCGTAAACTTCTCATCATCAACAACCCCGTCACCATTCTCAACATCGCCAACACCGGAATTATCACCAGAAACCGATTGCACAGCCACAGAATCAGAACGAACAGTTTCAATTTCAGTTCCACCGTCCTCTTCCTCTCGTAAACCGTTACTAATTTCTTCTCCAACAACATCAACCCCTTCAGAATCCACACTCTCAAAACCCTTATCATTAGCCTCCACAAAAACCTCATCCTCCTTCACTTCCTCACCACCGCCTTTCTCCAAACCGACATCCTGCGAATCTTCTTCCTCCTCCTCATCATCTTCGTCATCAGCGGTCACCTTAGCAATAGGCCTTGGTGATTCCTGGTCGAAAGACTCTTCTCCTTCTTTTTCTTTTTTCTGAACGGTAGATTTGGCATCGTAAACGAGAATGGGCGTGGAAGGCTCAGCTTCATCTTCGCCGCTAACGAAACCGTCATCGGAATCGGAACCGTGACCGTTAACACCGTTAAGTAGGTTGTTTGGTTCGTGAAATTGGGAAGAAGAAGATAGGGTTTGGGAATCCATGGAGAATGAAGAAAAGAAGAGATAAGGTTTTAGGATTAGGCGGAGAGAGTGAAGTAGAGAAATGAAAAGAGGGTTTTAGTTTTACGCTAAAATACAAGCCAATTCTATGCTTCAATTCATATCCTATCTATCGGATTTTGCTGGAGAGTATTGACGCTTCCTTTTACTCATACTGCATTTTCATTGGATCGATTTTTAAATTTACGTTTTTTATTTTATTTTTACTAACTTTATAGGAAAAAAGTTTATACAATAAATACTGGTTATATTACATGTATTGCCAAATTTTTTTCTTTTCTAAATAATATGTTTTCCTTCGTATGAAATTAATATTTTATTATTTGTTTTAGTCAAATAGATTTAGATTCTCATTAAGTAATTAATAAATATATACTTAAAATAATTATCTAATAATATTTATGTGTAATAGATGTATAATGTCAACAATTAAAATCGGTGGATTTATTTTCTCGTTCACTTTGTTACTTACAAATTTTGTAGAATGAAGGTAAGTATGAGCGATTAAAGTCATTCAAAGTGTCTATGTTAATATTAATTTATTAAATATTAAGAGTGTAAAACATCATTGAGAAGACATCATTGGAATCCCTTTATTTGTCTATGTTTGGTAATTGCGTCAAATCCCTTAACTTGTTCTTCTAGTATCGTGATGAATTAACAAATTGATTATACATGATTCATTGGTGTGTAATCTTCTCTTTTAATAAAAAAACACCTTAATTCCTTAGGTGTGTTTGAAATCAAAACAAATTTAACCACATGCTAATTCCTATATCACAAAATTATAATTCTTTATTTCTAAAGTAATTTCTAATTTTCAACAGTTAAACTAGGTCGAGTTTAAAAATTTAGGATCAGTCTTCATACAAAAAGCATTAAGAATAAAATATAATTAAATAACACTAGAATGGAAAAAATAATGAAATAGTACTTGACCAATTACATGGTTTAAAAAAATCAAAATAAATGTATATCAAAAGGGTTAATCTAAGAAAACTTAATTACTCATAATTGAATTATTCATACTAAAAAGTTTAGAAGAAAGATACGTGAATTTGGAGATGTAAATTGATCTTCAATTAAGAAAGACTTCATTCATTGCTCCTAAAACTCTTACAGTTGTCAAAGTCTCTAAAATCTAAATTCAATCCCCATTGAACCCTTCTCTTACTTCTCTTTAAATAGAAGTTTATACTGGGCTTTTAGGGTTGAGAGAAAAAATCCAATACATAATTCAACATTGTAACAATGTCGTATTTTTACTCGTTATTTGTCGTCCATTTATATTCAGATTTAGACTTTGACTTAATGATAAAAGTTGTAGCCCTAGATGTTAGATTTCGTTGGTAAAACACTCTGCCTCAATTTGAGTTACGAAACTCTATATATGATTAAATTACTGAACATATGTCATGCAATAAATCATGTTGAAAAATACTTTTTTCTTCATAATTTCTCCATTTTTTTCATCTTTCTGCTTCGTTTCTTCCTGTTAAGAATATTTGTATATAAAATAGTCTCACATAACTATAACATGTAATTAGTTGTAATCTCTATATATAATACAGTCTCTATAGTGCTTTTTAAACACAAAATTTGTTCAGACGTCTCTCACTTTCTTATACTTCAATATGGTATCTAGAGCTTGTTGAGATTCAATTATTTGTTGTGTTTTACCCGATTTACCCATTGTCTTCCAATGAGAAAAAATGTTGGGTGATTTATTCTAGTCACCACCATACTTCCACTTTCCTAGCCATAGTTAACATTGTCACCACTAGCATCGTTCCTCTTGACGTCCTTTCAGAGAGATATTTATACCGCCAGAATCACCTATTCTAGACCGACGAGTCACCAAAATCTCACTGTCACCCTATTTCTCACACGCCATTTCTCCTTCTGTACGTGGATCTTATGAGACACCTATCACGGTGCAAAAAATATTTGAGCGTATCGCACACTCAAAATAAAACTGTCGCCACTGAATTTTATTTATTCTAAGAGAAAAAGAAAATATCAATAAAACTCGAAGGGAAGAGAAAAGGGTATGGAAGTTGGTTATGCAAGGGAAACATATTAGCATCTCTCACACTCGTTGTACTCAACGGGAACCGTTTTGATTACTCTTTTCCCTGATGAATGTTATTATCTAAAGGTTACTTGTGATTGGTTTTAATTAAGAGAAAAAATAAGTTTTTAATTAATGTGTTCTCCAAGATTTCAAAATCACGTGCCTACATATTCCCATAGTGCAATGAGAAAATCATAGCCCCATAGTTCATAGAGTAGAAAATAAGTATTTGTTAGTTGATTTCAGGGTACAGTTTTATAATCGTATCCTAGAAGTATTTTGACATTAGTTGTTTGATCCTGGTTCATATGCTCTAAGTTGTTAGTCTGACAGCTAAGGAATGGATTATAATTGTTCTTTTGTGAGAAACTGTTGTTTAGCCTGAGCTAAGGACAGAGAATTGTAAAGGTGGTGCCTAAATCAAGGACAAATAATTGTAAAAGTGGTGTTTGAACCAAGAACAAAGAATCATAAAGGTGGTGTCTGAACCAAGGACAGAGAGTTATAAAGGCAGTGTATGAACCAAGGACAAAGAATTATAAAGGCAGTGTTTGAACCATGGAAAAAAATTGTAAAAGTTTTCCTAAACCTGGGATTAATAAGGCAAACTGTAAAAAAAATAAGAGCTTTCCTAAACTAGGGGATTAACAAGGCAAATGGGAAGAAGAATAAGATTTTTCCTAAAACAAAGGATTAACAAGCAAAATAGGAAGAGGAATAGTATGGGTGTTAAAACCAATAGGAGTTGTATTAGAACCAAAAGAAGACGATTATGGAATGTGTTTAATATTGATTGTGATTAATTTTAGTCTGAAGAAGAATACTCAAACAGGAAGTTCTACAATAGTGTCTGGATCAGTTGAGGAGAGAAAATCTACATTCTCCTTCTTTTTCTTCCTTTAATTATGAAAATGACCTTCATTTGAATTGCACTAAAGTACGTGAATGAAAATGAATACTTTGAACAACTGGGTCATGTGTCCCATATCCAAAGATATTCAAAATAAGGATAGGAATACACCCTCACATTGTTCTCCGTTTTTTAAGGCTCGTGGCGCATAATTCGCATCATATTTGTTAAGTGTTTAAGTTTATTCGAAAAAAAGGGGCTTAGTTTTATATGAATAAAGAAAAAGGACATGATTAAATGAATGGGATAGCATACCAAAAATGGGAGATAAAGCCTAACGCTGTCAGACATATATTAGTCTATTTCTTATAGGGTTTTGAAATAGAAATTTGACCTAAGGAAACATGTATGGTACAAGCCTTAATGTTTCTAATCCACTTTGAATGATTAAGGTGCTTTATCCTATTAATTGACTAAACACCCAAGGGAGCATGCGAGATTATAAGTCAAGCTATATCAAGAAGAACCAATCAAGCATTTCAAAGGGTAAACTCAATCATGATATCAAAAGAAGAAGATCAAGTTCAAGGATAAAACCCTAACTTCTAATTAATTCTAATTTAATCCTATCATCAAAATCTAATCCTAATTTAGGAATTAACTCTTAAAATTTGTTATGAGTTGATCCCTAATTATGACTAAACTTGGATGTATTAAAAAATAATGAAAACAATGAAATCCTTAAAAAGTAAAAGAAAATAAAAGTTTTTGCCTTGGGGTGCAGGGTTAAAAGAAGTGTGAGAAAAGTAGTTGGGCGTTGGGCCTAAGTCATGAAGCCCGTGTTCATTTGTGATTTGTTTCAGATAGGGGTGTAAAAGAAGAAGGGGTACATCGTAGCAAAGAGGCTAATGGGCCTAGAAAGAGTCAACAAAGTGGGAAAGTAAAAATGCTCCCCCATTCAACACTTCCTCTTTCAGACTCACTCTCCTTACACTCTCAAAATCCTTGGCCTCAAGAAAACGCCATTGTCGTGTCGAAAATCTCCTATGACGGCAGCGCGGCCCAGAACTCCACCAAACCTACACCATTATGTTTGTCTTTTCACCCTTTATATTCTTCCAACCTTCATTTTTCAAATAATTAATCAAAGCCTCGGTTCTACCTCAAACCCTAAAAATTTCTAAGAGAAATTAAATTCTTTTGATCCATGGAATCAAATTGAAACCTTAGGGTTCTTGTTCAGTGATGTTAACTCTATAACATGGTAACAAAACAAAGCATGAATGACAATGAATTGGAGAGCTCGTATTTACCTACAAGGTAGAGGAGTGTTATGGTATGAGTTATGAAATGAGCTGAGGATGAAGTTAAAATAAGACCAGGGGAAAAATATCAATGCTCGTGTAAGAGTATTTTCCTCAATTTCTTGCTCTTAATTTAGACTCTCTTTTCCTACACCCTTCTTTGAATTCTCTTGGTTCTTCTGAGTTTTTTACATTGTAATTGTTGTTTGTAGTTGAATAGAAGTATAGTAGAGTGATAAGATTAGGGGTTTAGGATTAAACTAGAACTAGTTATTGAGGTTTTGATGACAATGATGATGATAGAATTGTTTAAGATCATGGGTGAGGGGTATGCTTCTTCTCCCTTAGAGCTTGGTTGATAGCTCTGAAGAGGTTAGTTGAGGAAGCTTTAAGTGAGTTTTTGGGAGAGATTTGTGTAAAGCTTTGTTATGGTGAATATGACTTAATGATGAAGTAATTTAGCTACGATTTATATAGATGAGAGGTAAGGAAATTTTGGAGGGAAATGTTACCTAAATAAGTTAGGAATGATTTAATTCTAGCCCTTAGATAGTGATCCTAGGTCGGGGTTAATCAATGTTTGGAAGTGATTGATGAGTTAGTTAGGTTTATGTTTTTATTGAGTGAATAAAATTGATAGAAGTTGTGTTAGTGTTCCAACTATTTTTAGTGTAAATTTTGAATAGGGGTTGTGTTAGTTTTGTAGTTAGAGGTTTAAAAGTTTGTTAGGATTTTTTTGGAGGGAAATTGGATT